GTCTCCTTAAAGAGGTGAGGGGAGGAGTAACAGGATGAGTGCTGGGTCTCCTTAAAGAGGTGAGGTGAGAAGTAACAGGATGAGTGCTGGGTCTCCTTAAAGAGGTGAGGGGGAGAGTAACAGGATGAGTGGTGGGTCTCCTTAAAGAGGTGAGGGGGAGAGTAACAGGATGAGTGCTGGGTCTCCTTAAAGAGGTGAGGGGAGGTTACAGCCATGGAAAAATTGAGACCACAGCACAATATTTGTTTCACTCATTTCTCAATTTATGGCTGTGTGTCTGTGAATAGTATATATTTTTTTGCAAAATGCAGCCTCATTAATGCAGTTTCTCATTAATGAAGGGCTTCTTCCTTGCTTCATGGAACTCAGTCCTGCTTCTAGGAGCCTGATACAAACTGTCCTAGCAGTGCACTTCACACCTGCATTTAATGTTTCCCACTCCTTTTGAAGCTCACTTGATGTCATCCTTCTATTAATGAGGAACTGATAAGTTGACAGTCATCGCTGGCATTAGAATGTCACATCCGCCCTTTACCTGACTGTTTTCTGGTCGTTCTCAGTGTCTCCTGCTTCACCTTGTTCATGTGTACTGCTGTTTTAGAAATGTTGAACCTGGAAGCAGCCTGCTGTTCAAGGTAGCCTTCTGCTAGCAGGACCAGGATTAAACCAGGATTTAAAAATGCAGATTTGTTTACAAATATAGAGTGGTCTCTTATTTTTTTCCATGGCTGTACTTTGGCATGAGGAATTATTTGACATAATTTGAGATTAATGAAAAAATGTATCTTTTATTTTATCTCCTCTCTATATGTAATATTATAATGTGCTGACCATTAAGAGGCTGTGCTACATCTGCTATTCATACCATCTGCATATACTGTGAGATGTACTGATAGACTAACCTTCAGCAAGTATATCTATCCTGAGCTTGTTTGAAGGTTGAAACTGTCTATTTATAATGGCAAAGATACTACATGGGCTTGACTTGGACTGTCGTTGTGATGCCCCACAGACTCCATTGACGGGAAGCACGCTCGCCGCACGCAGTCCTCCAGCCCTCTAGGGGAGCTCTTTGACCATGGTCTGGACAGCTGGGCCACCTCCATTTTCAGCTTGTCATTCTTCTCAGTGTTCGGCTTGTGCAAGGCCAGGGCTGTCTCAGCCTACACCCTCTACTGCATCCTGTGCATCGTCCTGGTCACATTTGTGCTCTCTCACTGGGAGAAGTACAACACTGGAGTCCTGTTCCTGCCCTGGGGATATGACTTCAGTCAAGTGGTCAGTACTGGAATCCTGTCACTGCGCTGGTGAGATAAAAAATGTACTGAGGAATAACACTGGTCGATTGGCTTTACGATTCAATAGCAAGCATAGGCTATCAAAACCTTTGCAGTGCCCTCAGACTGGAAAAGTATGTTGTACAATGTGCAATATAAAATTTAGACGAACAATTTCTAGCATGGCAAGGATTCATCACAAAGGCCATTAAAATCCCTCACCTGAACAGCATGGTAATCATTGCGCTAAATGCATTTTGTTTAAAAAAAATCTGACGAAATGGAATCATGCCTTGCAATTATTAGTGTAAAATGATCAGTAATTCTGTATTTTATTAGATATGCTTTCTTTGGAAGTGCTCACTCTTTCATACACTACATCTGAGTGTGTTCCTCACGCTATCCTGGGTCTGGCTGAACGGACAGGGCCTGGGCTATGTGACAGTATCAACACTGACGCTCGGGGGATATTGAATGGAGCTAGTGTGTGCTGGTCTTTTCTCCTCCAATAAGCTTTCAGTATTTCTCAACAGTGCTTCCTAAGTTGGCTGGACGCTGCGTAGCATTGAGCAGCCTTGACAGTAAAGTCCTAATGGCAGATTTTTATAAAATGAAGGTGGAGAAACTGGTGAAGTTCTGTTTCTTGGGGCTTGGTGTAGTGACAGTATATTTTGGAGGTCTTCTTTCTTCATCTTTTTCACGAAGAATCAAAGAGAGCCCTACAACGTACACAGGACAGCATCGGTATCTAGTCTGTAAACAGGATGTCAGGATGGTGTTCTGTATAGTCACAGAATTCAGCTTAAAGGCATTTAGTGCTTCTACTGTATGCCTGCTAGGGGTCTTGTTTGAACGCTGCTTATTTGGTCCCTTTTACAACTTTAAGGAGCAGAGTGAAACATCAAATGATGCAAGCGGAATACTGCATTGAGGAGCCGGTTTAGTCTTTAGTTGGTCTTTGTATATTCATGATATGTATATGCTGTGGAGCTGGTCCTGTAAAAGACCTGAATTGCTGGGAGAGTTCAGCAGACACATCTGAACCGGTTCGGTCACTGCGGCGATTGGAGGAATCAGGTACTTCAGTGCCTGGCTTGTTTGAACAAGTCCTTCTCAGTCTAGAGTTAAATTTATGAGATTATACATATTACCCGCCAATCGGTTCACTGTGTCACCCAGCAGATTGACTCTCGGCAAAACAGCCGGTGGTGTCGGTCTGAATCTCTAAATGACGGCACAGTTCAGCAGTGATGTAATGGATCCACCAACATATTATGGTCTGGTACAGATGCTTTTTCAAGCAAACGTTACAGTTCGTTATAGTGGGAACAGCCACGGATCCTGTTTGCTAACTGAGTAGGGATCTAGTGACGTATTATTTTTTTTAAATCGTTTTGTATGCCAAAAAGTAAAAAATCTTCAACTTTAAAATTCAGCGGCAGTAATTAGGGAACGGATAATGATAAACGTAAGTTTTCTGCAAGGCAGGCTATTTATATACAGCATGTATAGGTTGCCCTAGTTGACAAAATGGGGGAGGGGGGCAGTTCTCCAGTTGGAATAGATGGGCGCACCGCGGGGGGGCTTTCTTCATCCATCTCGGCCCCCTCGATGCAGGAAAAACAGCTTCTTGGCTTGTAACACGCCTCTGGGAGCGGGGGACACAGAAGCACGCGGGGCTCAGCCGCCGGTAATTCGCGCGGTTTGTCATCTCGCTTCAGTCTCGAAAAAGGAGGGAAGGTAGATAAGGCGTGGCGCCGGACCTCCTCCGACCTCAGCCGTGTTTGTGATCCTGACGCCGCGTTCTATCAGACATCGGTGTGCAGGAATTCACGCGCATGACGATTGTTATATATTGCAGACTATATATTTAGCACTGTGCTTGACAAGTACGTGGTTCTATGAGGTAAACTCATGGAATAGTACAAAAGAAAGAAGAAGAGACTTTAGTTAAATTTCCAGCTCGCTTTTGTAAAATACACATACAATGGTAGTAGTGTTATTCTGTGTTCAATTTCACAGAAAAGTCCTTAGTGATATTACACCTGCTTAGGCACCTTCAGGGTATAATTCAATCTGCAGCCAAGCTTCTCTCTTTGTACCCAGGCGTGTTTTATGGAATTTCGAAAGCAGAGAGCGTGAGTCATCTCTTGTGGAACAAATTGCTGCCACAGGAAGGCAATTTTCTATTGGCTGGGGAATCTCAGCGTGCCTGTCCCGATCTGTTGCTGGATCTTGGCACTGGGGGGTGATTCTCTCCTTCTCCCGCAAAGTCTGCGTGTGATACGGAGTACGACTTGGCAGGGGCGTAGAGGGGGAAAAGTGGCACATCAGCTGTCTTCTCGAGTGCACGGTGGACGGTCTAGCCTAGGCGGCTCCCTTTCATTGCCTCAGCATAGCTTGGCTCCTTCCTCTTCCTCCTCGTCAGCAGTATCAGAGTGAAAGTGTGCAGCCTTTTGCAGTTACGCAGTTCGTTATGAACCCAAACCTGCTGGCTGCGAGTAAGCCTCACTCACACGACCCCTTTACTGCAATAGCAGAGGAATACCATTTCAATAACGTTTCCTGGCTAAAAATCCTTCAGCTTTGAGTCCTTTTTTTGTTAGCAGTATAAATGATCTTTATACTATACTTGCCAGCTGACCTTAAATGCTAAAATATGCGCCGGTAAGATGCATGTGATGCTCTGTGAAATCTGTTTTCTCCTCCTGTAGACCATGACAGCGGTGTATCTGCTGACGGCAGTATTGGGAGTCGAAGTCTGGTATCAGCCCGTGGCCTTCGGTTATTTCTTTACGGATATTCTAATCGCCGTGGCGATCGGTAAGTGTCCCAAGCCTAAGTGTCACGTGGATCACGAGTCTGTCCCAAAGCGCTGTCCTGCTCATCCCACTCCCCACCTCACCCCTCTGTCTGCCTCACTTTATTATTGTGCTACAATTAAAAGGATTTGTTAGGCTGTTGTGCACTTACTAGATGCAGCACAAATTACTCTATTCCCCCGCTAACAATTATTTGTTCTAGGAATGTTTACCGAACGTTACGAATAAGGTATGGAAACGTTCATGGTGTCCAGTATTTCCGATGTTTAGCCCACTACTGCGATTAAGACTAATAATATAAAAACAACGGAAAGCATGCTAGAGTATTGAGTAACACTGTCACTTTAATCCTTGGAGGTCAGGGATTCAAGGCTGGATGGCATCTGTTCAGTATACGCATGTCGCACTTTTACCGGATAATATGTTATTATAAAACAATGCTTTTCAACATTATTCGCGTTAAAAGGATATTCAGGTAATAATGTTATTGTGCTGACATCGACAGAACCTTTGTTAAAATGTAAAACATGCAAATTAACATTACAGTAAGAACGTTCTCTGCCAACTTTGAGAAGACCCTCACATACCATTAGCTAAAGTTCTGGGAACGTTCCCTGTTAGCTGGGACACTGTACTGGCAGCTGCTAGTACAGTGGGATGCAGTTTTTTTTGGGAACTATGGCTCTTATGCGGGATTTGATGTACTCCAGTTCATAGGTAGAAAGTTCAGGTCCAGAAAGAACAAATCCAGACCGTGGTTTTGTTTCAACCAACCAGTTGAGTTCTCTGTGACTGTGACTCTTTATGCTCAACTGATTGGTTGAAACAAAACCTTGATCTAGATTTGTACTTTCTCGATGTGAATTTTCCACCTCTGCTCCAGTTCATGTACCTTTACTTAGGGACAGGGGTGTACACTTAATGTTTCACTAGGGTTAAAGCTTAAACATGTCCCCACATTGTGTGTCACGCCTCTGCTAATGAGGTGCAACCAGATAATGAGGGAGTTTTTTTTTGCTGCGCTTGAAGGTTACCACACCAAATAGCCAGTGATTTGGTGCTGGTAATATATTTTTTATGCTTAGCAAGGTCTAATATGACAGATGATTGAAATTCCATGTTCTGGAACCTTTTGTCCTGTTCATTCCAGTGACATCACAAAGGGTTGACTGCTTTGCATAGAGCCATTAGCACTCATTTATCTTGTAAGCCTCATACTTGACTGGCCATTAAAGTGATGATGTCTTAATATGCTTATTCACTGTGTCAGAATGCTCAGTGATTTGGGATTCTTTTCGTTTTTTATGTAATTATTACAGACATTCATCTTCCAACTGCTTTTGTGCGACTGGGACATGTGAGACTGTCTATCACAGGCAGCACAGGGTACAAGGCTGAGGTTCACCATGGACAAGATGCACATACACACATTTGTAATTCAGATGCACCAAGTAGTGAAACAGTATGTCAGGGTTCCCCAGTTCTGGTCCTGGAGGGCCAGCCTGCTCAGACACACCTTACTCTGCTCACCAGCTAATTACCAGGCTTAGTATGTGTGTCTGAGTAGAGAAATCTGCACACTGTGTTGCAGACTGGCCCTCCAAGACCGGAACTGCAGAACGCTCATGTATGCTAAAGGACAGAGGATGGTAAGCAGAGTTCCCAGATAAAACGTGGAGCATTCAAGATTCAAGGACTTTATCGTCACTTAGTAAGCACAACGAAATTGCAATTGTGTCAGCCTCAAATGGTACTTTACATCTAAAACACAATACAAAGAATAAGGTGTAAAAATATAAAAGAATTGTACTGTAAAGGTACAAATTCTGAGTAATAAATGCAATTTACAGGTGATATATAAATATAACTAATCACCGGGCTGCAAAAAGATATCGACAGCAGTACTGCAGTAAGGGTACGTTACAGGTACAGGATGAAAGTGAGTTAGTGGTGTTGGTTGACGTGTGGTTAATATAACATACTGCGTATAATTGGTGACGACATAGTAGTGCACATACTCCAATAGCAGCAGCACACGGGGAGAGCGTGCAAATCCACACAGGCAGAGCAGAGGTGGGATTCGAACCCACAACCCTGGAAGTGCAAGGAGATGCTACACACCTAGCCGTGATGCCAGCAATTATTTAAAAATAAGTTACGCAAAATGGTGATGATATCTCCGATATGTATC